CTGATGTGGAAACACCACGAGATTTTTTGGGGGCATGAAGTAACTGTGAGCCAAAAATGGGAACGGATTCATCACTTGGAGGTACAGAATGGTACAAGTTTGAAAAGGCCCTGGAATCTCTGGAGAGTTTTGAATTACCCTCTGGTAAACTAACATAACTATGGAAAATCACCATGTTTAATGGGAAAATCAACTATAAATGGGCCATTTTCAATAGCTATGTTAGTTTACCAGAAGGTACCTAAGTTTTTCACCGCGCTAGCAGGAGCAGGGTCTCGGGGAAAAAATGGCTTTTTTGGTGGTGAATTTTTCGCTGATGGATGTTCATCCCCCCAGATTGGTGTATTTTCGCTGACCCATCCCCAGCATCCCGAAAAAAAAAACGCGAATTGCTTAAATTGTCTGCACATTGCTTAAACAATAGGTCCTTCACTATCAATTAAGTGATGTGTACCATCACTTATTTCAATCAAAGTGTTGGCTCCAAATTCAGTGATGCTACATTTTAAGCAAGTGTCCGGTGCTTAAAAATCCAGAGCGGAAGCCGCCTGAAGATTGGCGTACCATGGGCTTTCACTTTGGTATCTTCATAGAGACCGTTCACCTGAGAGCATCCACCGGCAAGCGGAGGGATGGACAATCCATATTTTTGTCAACAGGGTACAGTACCTCCCCGCATTTCCAACCTAGGATTTATCCCCATTTTGGGACAAACCAGGGACCTAGGGTAAAATCCATAGGTATGTATTACCAGTGAAGAATTTCCATTTACTTCCTGGTGAAATCCCCATTTGTAGTTGCTTCAATTGCCTTGATCTGGGTAGCAGTCTGAAAATGAACGCCTCAAAATTCCAGTGTTTGTCATCATGTTCCCTACTATCCAAATTAAACTGCGATTTACGGAACTGTAGCCGCTGGTACTCAAACATGGCTTGCTGGACAATCCCCAGCAACAAACAGCAAAAAATGATGTTTCCAATATGTAGATGCCCATGAAAAATTATCGAGGAATTACCAGCCACCCGACCAGAAGGTGTTAACCCATATTCAATCATTTTTTCGTTCCATTCATATCCCATTCATATTCCATTCGTACTTACTGATGGTGAAGAAATCCTGCATCGCCTTCACTGCAACAAAAAGGTCAACACCTTAACATTTGTTAACATCTTTTAACTGTATATCTATATGGATCTATATGGATCTTCAATGGATTGGTTCAAGGGAAAATCTACAGGAAACCATGGTTTTTACCATCAAATATAGGTCTTTCCTGTAAATTTTCCCATCATCCAATTCTATGAGATCTATATGATATACTATTGTCAACGATCACCGGTGGTTCCAGATGGAAATTCAGCACCTCATCGGATCCAGCCCCGAAGACAGCGATGGCCTCAAAGGGCAGAGCCTGAACCGCCAAGGTCGGCTGTCGGGCTGTCAGCCAGGGGAGATTGAGTCGATATTGATGTGAAGAATATGTGAACAAAACTGTTTTAATGACATTAAATGACATTAAATGACTTAAATGTGGCTTACAGTATGCGTTTTAAGGCTCAAATGACTTAAATGTGGCTTACAGTATGCGTTTTCAGGCATCTTCGGCAAGACTATATACTGTAAATGTCTTCACTCCCCAAAAGTATGTTTGGCCTCAACATCACTTTGATTACTAGTGTGCTTTTTTGGGTGGTTATTTTCCCATGATGTGGACACTAAATCATGACCTTGTTCACCAATATTAGCTAGTATATGCTATGAAGATTAATATGACTATGCTATCAATATGCTATCAGAATATGCTATCAGAATATGCTATCAGAATATGCTATCAGGCTGAGGATTCTGATGAAAAATGAACCAAAAGGAAATTCCCAGATGGCGATCCGGTGGATTCACCGACAAAATCCATGCCAGAAATGCGGCTTCCAGCTCATCGAACTCAAACATGAAGGCCTTGGTTGGATGTGGCAGGGAATGTGGCAGGGAGAGAAACACGGAATGTCATGGATATTGTCATGGATATTGTCATGGATATTGAGTTTCAAACATCACAAACATCAATCATCAAACCCAGTAACGGCACGAAAGATCGGCATAGACCCCTGAGTATCCCTGAGTCTTCTGCAATCCACCAGATGTCTCAGATGTCAATCGTGAGCGCCCGATGACACCCAGGGGATGGGCTTGTTCACTCGGATTGTTGGATTGTTGGCCAAATTGGCTGCCCCAATTTTGTACGTCCCGGACCCTCTATTCGGAATTGCCAATGCTATGCCTGCCATTGGTTTTGCGGCTCAGAGGCTCAGAGGCTCAGAGCTTGGAGCTTGGTCAGCTTATTTGACGGGTTTTTGTGCCGGGGATTCCAGACAACTCCATCAACTCCATGCAGCGCCGGCACGGGACCCTCACTGTGATCCTTGACATGTTATACGCATTATATAAGCATTTTGTGGGCAAGTCTTTTCTCAACAAAACTGCTGCCTAGAGCCAAAGCTGAAGGGTCCAAGTAGCTGCTTGCAGCGCTGCCGAGCACATTCAACGAAAAACTACACGATAATTAGCTCTTCAGCCCTATCAACGATGTTGACGCAGAAAAATGGACATGTCCTCACCAGTCCTGTGACATGTGCAATCTCCCAAAGCTTTTTGTAAAATCATGACATGGCAAGCCCCATCAACCCAGCACGATGTGTCATGCAGGTGCTTCGTTGAACCCAGCTGGCCATGCCCCGTTGAACAACCACCAGCTTTGCCAAGAAAAATGGTGTCAAACAGTCGTCCAACAAAGCCGAAATGTCCGATCATGGGAGAATTGAATACACTTTGAACAGTAAAGCAGGATAAGTATGTCCCATGAAGGTCTAGGAATGGGATCCATCTAGCCCCTGAGACAGCATAGACGTCACTCGGGTCCTTAAGTTTCTTCCACTTCTCCGTCAACTCGGCACGGTGTCTTTTTTCCTGGCCCGAGAACAGCGTTTCAACGTCCACATGGATCTTTGAGTTTTTGGGCCTTGAACAAGTTCATCATAGTTAGCTCATTGATGGCCAAGTTGAGCTATTGCCACCATGGGATTCAATGGGAAAGATACAAGCGACAAGAATGCGGAGTATGCAGGAAGACAATACCACCCTAAGGGTAGAACAGTGTCACCAATTGACCATTGGGATTTCTTCGCTGCCTACAACGAATCCCTATTATTGTGGGCTAACAACAATTGCCCTCAAGCAAACTGGTTCGCTGCAAAACCCCGTATGTGTATCTGGTGTATATCTATGTACATAAATATTGATATGTGTATATATATATATACACATATATATATGTGTATGTGTGTGATGTATATACAGTATACAGGTACGCGACTGTATTACCACCCCCAGAATTTCACTTGACTAAGATTACACAAATGAAAATGATCGGGGATTGCTGACCTTTTACGGACATACTCAAAACATGTCCGCCAGGCAACGCTCGATTCCATGTGATGCATGAACATGTCAACGAGCAAAAAAACAGTGTAAAACACAGTACAGTTCGTCTCCGTGGAACCACAATGTCTTTATCCTGAAAACATATATCCTATACAGGTGTCACCACCCAGACATCACGATGTCGGCAAAACGGATAACCACCAAAAAAGAATCTAATTAAAAGCAAAAAAGCATCCTGGAGAAGCAGTTTCGTACAGTATTTGCTGTGTTCTTTGCTTATGCACATGGATACGGGGGTGATAATGCATATTGGCGCCTATATACGCATATCTAATATGTATACATATATATATATACATATACTGTACAATACATGTATGTATATATATATATATGTATAATGTATATATATATACATATATGCATATACATATATATATATATACATACAGTAGATACAGGGCAATGATGTCCAAATGAATTGCAGCGATTTGTCGATGATATTTCCAAAGGCGTAGCTGGCTGGGTGGCAGCTCAGATGGCTGGGTCGCTGGGTCCTCTTCCAACTTTTTGGTGAGATCCACTCGTTGGGACTGCAGTTGGACCACCTCGAGATGGCGGGAGGATTCGATGATGGTGGCGCTGGTGTGTTTGCCGGACGTGTTTAAGACGTGTTTTTTTATCAAATGACAGTCTTGCAGGACCACAAATCCAGTGAATGGATGGGTTTTACATATTTTTTAATAGTAGCTTAGTAGATTTTACTAAAATGATGTTCTTGGAACTGGCTGACCCTGCACGCTGGAAAATGGAACTTCGATCGCCTCGTTCTGTATCTTTGACAGCTTTTTTCGGAGGTCCTCCGGACTCTACAGGGCCATCGCTGCTTGGATCATCTGAAATCAGTGCTGAAACGCTGTTGCTTCAAATCCAAGTAACTCCAAACCTAAAAGAATCTTTTAATCAAAGCATATCAAAGCATATTTCTATATATATATATATACGTATATATTATATAGTATAATTTAGTAATATTTAGTACATATATGTATATATTTCTCCTATTTCCAGAGTCCGCAGAGTGAGCAGTAGGCATTTCCAGTTCAAAGGGCGCCGATCTCCTTCCGTGCACCATCCGTCGCATCAACCTTGGCCTCCACCAGATCGTTGCGATGCTTGGCCTGCAGGGATTGGGACAAGGCCCAGAGGGCAAGGTGGGCTGGTAGATCTGGTGAGGTCAAAGAAAGTGATTAAAGATACCATAAGAATCCATAAGAATAGCAAAGGCAATGTCCCACATCCTCTGAGATCAGCAGGAGTACCTGATGGCAGCTGGCTCTGTTTTTCCCTGCAAGCTTTCTCACTGACATGAGCTAAGCAAAGCATGGACAGCAACTCCAGGGTCCAAGGATCAAATGACATGACGTGAGGACTGGCGAACTTCTCTTTCCGCGGGCATGGCCAAGTCTTCCTACTTGGGCTCAGCTCAAATGTTTCTGAAACTGAAAGCATCCCTTCTGCCGTCCATTCTGTACATGTACCCGCGTACAACCTGCATCTATTAAGGAGAGCTTAGGGCAACTTCATAGTATGTACGCGAGATAAGGAGGTACAGTGTACTTACATGCACTTACATGCTGCTGACCAAATTCTGCAGCAAGCTTAAGAAAGCAAAACCACACTTTTGCCCATTCCAATGCACAGAGACAAATTGTCTAAAGTTTAAAGCATCCTTTCACACTGATCGCAACACTGAAGCAGCTGTCCAACACGCTCTGCATGACTGGCTCTGGCATCCCGCATATTCTCGAGTCCGTCTTAAAGAGTCCGCCACTGCTATAATAATATCTAGGCCGGCAACTTCGTTCCACGCTAAAGTGAAGCAACCAACCCAACTCAGCACCAACATAGACAAACCTGAACATCAAACATCGTCAACAGAAACAAGATGAAGCAAGATGAAAAAACTTCAACAACGCAACTTTCGCATACATTCGCAACATCTCGGCAAGGGCCATGTTGAACACGTCACCAGCCCATTTTTGACGTGCTGCATCTCACCAGCCAGTAGCCTTGCGCCAGGGATGCCATATGATGCCATGGGGTCCGCCATGGATGCCATCTGGTTCCTGACGATGAGTCTGTAGAATTTCCATGACTATAATGTGTGTATGTATAACATGTCTAAGGTTTGTATGTATGATTCACAATGATGTATCTATTAGATTTTATTAGATTTTATGAGTATATGAGTATGCATCCATTCGTTGACCATTCATCATTGTCCCTTGTTTCTCTCCCTCTGGGCGTCTCATGCCTCGTCAAGACATATATCTCTTGCCGCTGCTATCTCTGATGGTTACCCACCTCGGCGCAAGGGCAGGCCATACGTCATCAGAATTGGAATAATAATACAGTAATGGTGATTTAATATTGATCATGTTTACAAAAGTAATGGTGGTAATAACAATCATGTCAATAATTCATAAACATTGATAACACCATCAAAGTCGTCGTCATCATCATCACTAAAAATGTCCATTCTCACTATATACATATTTATCAATTAATACTATCTGTTACTATCTTGATCAGGGCTTATCATCCATTGTTCAAGACCAGGTTCGGTTCGTAGTTTCATCAACTGCAGCAATCGCTCGGATCCTTTTGGCCTTCACTGCGGCACGTGTCACGGTGCCCTGCCACCGGTGCGCCTTTGGCACCGTTCGATACCGTGAAACCAGGTTCGACTTTGACCCGAGTGTCGCTTGGAAATTCACCGATATCTACCCAGGATGAATCACTATCGAAATTGATTTTTTATCACGACATTTGGGAAACCTCTGATTGTGTTTTGGTAGATTTGAGCTTGATTCATCCTGGGATCTGTCATCCCAAGATTTTTGAAGCTGGAAAAACGCCGCCATGGCCATGATCAACATGGTTGACCCATAGCCAAATGGTACCCTCTGGTTATGACTAACAGTTTGCCATGGAAAATCACCATTTCTAATAGGTAAACAATTTAGATAAACCATCTATTTCTATGGGCCATCTATACCATGGCTATGTTAAATAACCAGAGGGTAACAAATGTCAATAAATTTCAGATGAATCACACATTCTACGATGGCATCCTGGTATCTCTTATTGCCTGGACGTGGCTCAGGTGTTTTGTTTTCAAAACTTTGTTCAGTAAGCCTCCATGGTTCGTTACGTCCTGAATGCTCCTTGCTGATTCATGAACATCATTGCTGCTTCATTAACAATTGCTAGATATTGCTAGCATCTTATGATACCTATATTTTTCAGGTTTCCTACAATGAGGGTACCTCCAAATCATCCATTTTTTAGATGGATTTTCCATTGTTTTTCCATCAAGCTAGTGGGGTATCCGGCCTCGAGAGCTCCAGGGCTCTTTGCCGAGCATTGCGCATCGCCTCGAAAAAGGCGTGAGTTCCACATAGAAAATTTGGGCACTTCCACATAGTTCCAACAATATCCAACATCCAATATTCAACATCCAATATATGACAAGAACAACCAGGGGATGTGAGCGTGTTCAACAATGGTGGACATCTGCACATGTTGATTCATTTTATTCATGGTCTGTTTTCGGAGACATTGGATTTGGGAGTCCCCAATGGTTGGCCAGTGTTTGCTCACAACCAGGCTGAGAGACTCTCAAGTGCCGTTGTCGACTCTTAGAAATGTGTTCCCGCGGCCGCTCGAGCAACCTAGAGGTGGAAATGGGATGAAATGGGAATCCCACAGGGGTGAAGTCTCTTAAATGGGAAGCACAACGATATAACGATAGCAGCTGATAGCAGTGAAGAATGGCGATTGGAACCTGACAAGTTGGACAAATGTCTGCCCGAGCCATCCCGAGCCACTCTCGCACGGCAGGATCAAAGGAATCGCCCTGGCTATACATGTCCTGCCACAAAGTCATCAAGTTGTGCTTAGATATGATACGTCTCGTGCTGATTATCTGCATCATATCTGTGTACGTCCGCATGTGTATATTAATATATATATATATATAGGAAGGAAGGAAGGAAGGTAGGTAGGTAAGGTTAGGTAAGGCAAGGTTGGGTTAGCTTAGGTTAGCTTAGGTTAGCTTAGGCTAGCTTGGCTTAGGTTAGCTTAGGGTTAAGGGTTAGCTTAGGTTGAGTTAGGTTAGCTTAGGTTGAGTTAGGTTAGCTTAGGTTGAGTTAGGTTAGCTTAGGTTGAGTTAGGTTAGATAGGTCTGTATGTCTGCCCACCTGCCTGCATGTCTATATCTAGATATATATATATATATATGAGGGCTGGTATGGGTTTCAAGGGGGGGTTAGGTTTATATCTCATCTTATATTATATAACTTTCACAATATAAAGGGCTACTGTGGGTTTACACACGACAGTCGCACAGGCCTTGAATGCATTCATAAGTTCATTCTTCATAAAGGCCTTTGCCGAGCGGCAAGTCAGGATACAATCTGAATGATTTGGCATGATTTGGTGTGATATCGTTCACATCCATCATTACCCTCTGGTAAATTAACATAATTATTGGAAAAACACAACTTTTAATAGGTATTCCCATAGCTATTTTAGTTTCCCGGAGGGTACAGTATGTTTTATGTTCCATTCCAATGATTGATCATCTGTGCTTCGACCACTTAGCCATTGAAAATCTCTCCTGGATCTCTTCGAAATTGGCTGTGGCCAACCAATCATCATGCCGGGAACTTGTGGAGAGCCAGTCGTAGACCTGCTGGGAACACCCAGGGTCCATAGCTGAGAAAACCGGGCCGGGTCCATGACATACATACATTCGGCAAGCTGCAAAGCACACGAAAGCACAGCCGTTCTGTGCATTCCACAACAATGCGGATGTGCTATTTCAATTATTTCCATTATCTCCCATTATATCCTCATTATATCCCCATGATATACACCCAGAATCTGAAATACCCATCCCCATAGCATGACAAGGGACTCTGCGTTCCTGCTCTCCTCGCGTGTGGACGTGCTCACCGATGGCACCATGCAGTTGAGGCATGCCCAAGAAAATGGTGATGGAAAGACGATCTTCCTGCAGTGGGACTAATTCTGGGAATGGGCGGAAGTGGGGAATGTGAGAGCTCAAGAAAAACATAGAAAGCCATTGGAAAAACATAAGGAACAAAAGCTTTAAAGAGAACCAAAAGCTCAAAAAAAAACAAACCATTCAACATGATCAGACGTGATCTGTTCAAAGCGTGTCTGGGCAAAAGGAATGACCCACAAAAATTGCCAGTGCCACAAGGGATCATTGCTGGGATTGGAGCCACTGTGCAGAAGGCTACGCCAGCGCCCTTGCGATAACGTTTGCCTCGGCTACCATAACTGACCTTGGACACCCCACAAAGGAGTTTATCTTTGGTGAAGACATTCTGTTCATTGCTAACATTGAACCATCTACCAAGCAAAACCAAGGTTGACTCTACCTGGACATAAGTTGCAAGCCAGTCACAGGTATCCACCCACGAATAAGTTGATGATTGAGGAATTCACCTGCCATGGCTTACCGTTGCCAAAGGGAAATAGGCTTTAAAACCTACAGTACAGTGTCACGAGAGGTTCCTTTTTTTACTGCCTTGTTTGATGGTGTTTGCTGGGGAACAGCAAGTACCAGCAATTGCTTCCCCAAAAAACGGTATGTCTTTGATAGATCGGCCAAAATCGATAGAACATGGCGCAACGGTGTTTTTTGATCGTGTCCGTCTCAATTCTACAAGGTGCACCCCCCTCAGTTAGTAGTAGATTCAGTCAGTAGTAGATGCTAATGCTATGAAGCCCATTAAGTATAGTGACATCATGTTATATCCCCCAGAAACCCAAACGTTAAAGTGATTTGCACCAATTCAGCCACTTTCCTAAAATAGAGGCTACCCACCCCCAAATCATCATACCCTCTGGTAAACGTTTACACAACGATGGAAAATCACCGTTTTCAACAGCTATGTTAGTTTACCAGAGGGTACCCTCTGGTAAATTAACATAGACCCTGGCAGTCATCGGGGTTGGAAGATTAGTTTCCATATGTTTCCATTAAAACTAGGCTATTTTCAGGGTCAACGAGTTAATTTACCAGAGGGTAAATCATCCAGTCGTCATGACTGGCGGTGACTGGGGTCCCCACCTCGCCGTAAGAGAAACGCCTGATCCGCGGCCGGGACTCGTCGGACTCGGAAACGGCCCCAAGACCATGGATGCCCGGGGTGCTCTCCACGTTCCTTGGAAAATGTGGATGTCTGGGGAAAATCATGGAAAATCTATATATATAATATATATATATAATCTATATATATATATATATGTAATATATATAGTATATATATATATATCAATGGCGATTTTAATAGGGATATATAGTGATAATGACATCATCGTCTCCATGAAAATGACCAAAAATGGGGGATACAGCCAGTTTTCACAGTTTGGAAGGGCTGAAACCTGTGATCCCAATGTCAAGAGTCCCGAAAGATTTCCCAGGCTGATTCTACAATATGGAGGTTTCCTAAAATTGGTGCACCCCCTGTTATCTTTTGTTTTTGGGGATTTTCTATTGTAAACCATCCAGCTATTGGGGTACCCCTATTTTAGGAAACCACATGAAACCACTATATTTTAACCGGTTGCTCTTCAGCAAGGAACAGGGTGAGGAAGGAGTCGTCACAATGGAAAGCCGCTGGTGTAAGCAGGGTCTCCTGGCTGATGATGGGCTGCTTCGTGTCAACTCTTGGCATTTTCAGAGCCAACTGGTAGAAATTGACGTCCACTTATGTATGTGTATATAATGTTTATATACATATACATATAGTTGTATATATATATATAATTATATATATATATCATGTATGTGCTTATTTATTCATTCATTGTCTTTTTTACTTTTTCATTAGTTTATGTAATATACTTTATATATATAATATACATATACATATACGTATACATATACATATACATATACATATACATATACATATACGTATACGTATACATATACGTATACATAAGTACATGTATATATATACCCATAAACATGTACATACATATATATATATAGAGAGAGAGAGCGAGAGAGATATATATATATATCATATATACTTTTTGTACAAGTACATAAATGGCTGATTATGAACGTATAAAGGGATGTGCCAAGACCTCTCCTGTTGCGTCATCTCAGGGTAGTAGTGCACAATGGCCGTGGTCATTTGCAGAGTGTTTTCAAGTTGGCCCGCTTCGTAACCCAATCCAAACTCCAGAACATCTTCTAAGAACGGCAGAAGCTGTTGACGCATGCCGTTCAAGAGTCTTTGCCTTGGGTTAGGACCGAATAGGAAAACCCCACCAAATGCCAAGTTGGACTGGATGTAGCTTGCTTTTAGGAGGACTGTTGTTCTTGTAGCTGACAGGAGAGGGCTCAAAATAAGACCATGCCATGCAGCGAGTGAAAGGAAAAACAAATTTCATTCGGACATAGTTCACTGATAAAACTACCAAAGGCACCAGGTCCTAGCTTTGTCGCAAACAATCCTGACGATTCTATGCTCTTGGGGGGAGTATTAGTATTGCCTTTTGTCTGCCCTGTTCTTATTTCTTCAGCTTTTGGGTAGAGGCTTGTTGCATGTAAGCCCACATAGTTTTCTCAGAGTGAGTCAAACTCTTCAAAAATTGACAAGTTTAAGTGCGTCCGGTTCAAGTCAAATGTATCAAGGGTCCGGTCCCCACGCCTTTTATTTGAGATGGCCGATCCTCCCCCCATTTCAATATTGTAGTCAGTTGGTACTCAATATAGGTGCTATGGTCAAGTGACATAGGATCAATATGGATTAATGGGGAATGGTCATCCCACTATTGGCTTTCCTTATACATAAATATATATACATACATATATATATATATATATTTAGTTATATATTTATTTATATATTTATTTATATATTTATTTATATGTTTATTTATATGTTTATTTTTATATTATTTATATATTTATTTATATGTTTATTTATATATTTATTTATCTATTTATTTATATATTTATGTATCTATTTATGTATATATTTATTTATCTATTTATATATTTATTAATGTATAGTTATTTATGTTTTATTTGTTTAATGATTTATAAACACACATCATGGGTATGAATTAACCCCTGTGAAAATGGCCAAAGCTGACCCCAACACATCGCCAAGCTGCAGGCCAAAGGGTAGGTCAGGAGGATCGGTGGAACCATCTTCACGAATGAAGGCCAAATAGTGTGGATGGCTATACATCCTTAATATGTTCGATCTGGAATGACATCCGCCAAATTTCTGGTGTGTCCTGTCCTGTCTCGGCTTGAAAAACCTGATGCAAGGTGCCGTCCTGTCTCGAAAAAATATCTATCACACTTGGTGCTTGGTTCAAGATCCGCCTGCGGACAGATTCACATTGCAATGGCGGCATCCCAGAGTCTGTGGTCTTAACAGATTCTATCAGATTCTTTTACATAGATCCCATGCTCAAGATATCTCAAGATAATCTGCCCTTACCTCCCCAAAATAAATCGGATGAATCATCCTACCAGGTCCATGCATCCGTGGAGTTAGTTGACTGGTGAATAGTCATGGATTGTAACCCAGCTATAAAGGATTACAACTGTTATAACATGTTATAACTGGGTTATAACATCTTATAACTGGGTTACAAGCCACATATCAACCACTTAGCAGTTGATGGGGCGTCCATGGCCCATCGACCCCTGTGCCATCGCCCCTGTGCCGAGTATCTCCGCGGATCTGGGAAAGACCCAGCCGCATCCGAAGCCGCGCCAGTCACGGCGCTGTTGGAAGGCCTCCTTCGCCGCAAAAAGCACGGAGTTGATGCGGGCGTCCAGGCCTGGTCAATGCTGTCGCAACATCTGTAGATACCCTCTGGTAAACATACAAAAAGCTATTGAAAATGGCCATTTATAGTGGATTTTCCCATTAAAAATGGTGATTTTCCATAGCTATGTTAAATTACCAGAGGGTAAATATCTTAAGATATCTCGACATGTCTAGTAACATTGAGAGAGACATTAAATAGTGATATACTTATGACAATGCTTCAATGGTATATATATAAATTAAATTAATGAGAATAATCTTTGTCAACGACGACAACAACAACAACAACAACAACAAACGCAAAGGCAAACACAAACATATTGATTGGATCAACTTATGAGCTGATAACAGGAATAAAAATGTGTGGGTTCTTTCGGAAAAATCTCCAGGAGATCCTGATGAAATGACCAATGGACCCACCATGACCATGACCCACCATGGACTTTTTCCCGCACTTCAGCACTAAACCAACCATGTTTGGAAAGTGATTTTTTTTGGCCCATAGCCAACAATAGTATAACTATCAGTAACTACTACATAAAACTTCATGACTATCTTAATAAGTACACACATAAATGGACTGTACAGGACTACGAACTGATAATGATTTTCCCGTTCATTGTGTTCTTAACATTGAAAACTGGCCCACAAAGATTGATGATTTACTGATTGAAGATGGTGATGTTCCATGGCTAAGTGTAACAAATTACGAGGTAACATCATCTTTTAGTTGGTTAAATCCTATTCAATCACCATGAAATCACCATGAAATCACCGTGCCATTCAAGGCGCGACCCGGGCTTGTCAAAGCGGCGCAGTTGAAGCGACGTAGGAGTTGATCCAACTCCTGGGAAGCTCCCCATCGGCAGTGTGTCAAAACCATGTACCCCTTTTTTGTTCACATCAAAATAGCTGGGATTTATGGATGTGAATAACCCCCTAAAAATGGTATTTTCATAGGTATTGATCCATACCCAAATATCGTACTTTCGCTTTCGAGATAATTATGTGTACTATCATTTTGAGATAGTTTTTTCACGATGAATCTGATGTCACTATTAAATGGCATTTCACGATTCGTTTGAGATAGTTTCCCTTACTAATAGGGACGATTAGCGATATTAGCTTCCCCTGCTATAGTGAGGTCGTCCCATGGATGAGCATTGCCTTCAAACAATACCTTCTTGGGCAATTCCACGTTTGAATTCAAATGGCTTCAATGGGTTCATTCCATTTATTGCTAGTGAAATCCCAACTAAAATGTTTTCGAAATATCCTATTTGATCTATTCATTGAATTGATTGCAAGTAAAATCCCGATTCTTGGATAAACTCAAATGGGCTAATTTCAGCCAGTGAAATCCCAATTTTATTCCTCGGTGCCCCGTGAATTGCTGGTTAAAGTCGCTGTTAAATCCCTATCTATAGCAGTGAAATCTGCATTTCTTCTTGTTGGTTCAATTCCATTCAAATCCTCTTTCTGCCGATGATAGCAAGCCAACGAATGCGGTAAAACCTCCACTACAATCGGGTTTTCCCACTGCCACGTTGGATTATACAGGACGAAGCGTCTCTATGAAAACCTGTTGCTGGTCATATCCCCAGCTATTCAGCTATTATTTGTATTATTTGTATGTGAAGCCAATAATAACCATATATAACCATCTTGGGGTTAATAAACCATATTAACCATATAACCAATAATAACCATATATAACCATCCCATTAACAAACCGCTTGGGGCTTACATTTACAGCCTCCCATGAAAACATAAACCCCAATTGGGGATGGTGAAAAAGGCATTGGCTAAAAAACCTCACTGAAAATCTAGTTTCCCACACCAACAGAACTAAAATGGCATGATTAATAGACCTAATTTCATAATATACAATATATTCTATATATAAGTATTATATATATAACTCATATATATTATAATATACATTCCCCAAAAAAATATCATAACACTCAAATTCGGGATGGTTTTTTTTTTGGTGTTTCTTTTGGAGGTTTCCATCCAGTCATGGTTGGCGTCCAGCGGCCCGCGCCTCCTGCAGCTTCACCTTTCTCTTGGCGCCCAGACGTCGGTAGCCGGCCAGCTCTAAGGTGGGAACCAGCTGGTCGTCACCAAAGACCTGGATGAAAAAAGGGCCAAAGGAGGAAAAAAATGGGAAAAATTGGGGAAATGAAAAAAAACTTGGGGAAAAAATAGGGAAAATCTATGAACATCGGATCAAAGTGCATTGATTCAGCATTGATTCAGCCTGCTAGACTTGAAAGTTTCTTGGAAAAATGGAAATCCAGAATCCAGGCTGATTTCCCCATTTAAAGTAATAGGTGTTCAAATCAGGACACTTGAGTCAGTGATTTCCAGGTGGTTTCCATTACCGTGCAAAGGTTGTTGGAACGTATTTCACCTGTTGTCATCCCCAAAAATACTGGTTGGCTAAGGGACGAATTCCCCGTTTTGGGATTACAATCCCCGTCAAACATTCGAACATCATAAAAACATATAAAAACCATATACAAATCTCCTCCGGCCATCATTGGGTGCATATCCTATTTAATCCTCACTGTTCAACCTAAAAATTGGAGACTTCGAACAGTCATCAACAAGCTCCGCCTTGGCATGCACTGAGAAGCATCGCGGCATCAAGGGCCTGACACAGGAGGGAGCAACAAAAACGAAATGCCCAAAGAGGATGTAACCAACCCCATTAAGGGGTCAGGGATATATAACCAGCATCACTAAGAACCATGAAAATGTTGGCCAAACCTAATGTGTGCATGAATCTGGAACAATGAGGAAAAAGTTAAGTCCGGGCTGCGTGTGCCCACATTCATGGATCATGATACTGAATTTCCACGACTAAGTCTTATGGGTGGTTTGATCGCAAGTGCGTTCACTAGCAGAATGCGAGACACAAAGTACAAATGAGAGAAGGAGACACAACGGTGTCAAAACCAAAACAGGACATGCGATACAGTGGATTGCATCTCGTTGGAATAAAAAACAACGACGCATGTAAATTTATCGAAATGACGTACAAAATACACCCAAAAACACACGGGCTTACGGCACCGTGTGCTGTAACTGCGGGGACAAAAAAATCCAATCTGTTCCCGTCCCCTCAGCCAAAAGTTACTCTGGCCCAAACACCATCCACATCTCATTCCATCCGGGTGATAGGTGACCCCCAAGGTTTGGCGTCCAATATTTCGCTCTCGGGCATTGAAACTTAAGTTCATGCTAGTTAGTGAATGAATGCTATAAGTTGTAACATGTAGCAACCCATATCTCTATAAATCACGAATCATTGTATCATACTTTTATGAGCATGTAGAATGTATGTATACTTATAATTATATATACATTGCATTACATTAGACTGCATTGCATTGCATTGCGCTGCATTATATACATTACATTACATTAAATTTGCGTTTGGCACTGTGCACATGCAAGCAGCATGGACCCCTGCAGGATGACACGCACAACTATGTGCTCTGACTTTTTTCATGGCTCAAGAAATAGGAGCTGTCGTCATTGGGCAGGTGTCTTGGGGACCTAAAGGGTTGCTCTAGCACTTAAGACCCATACCCGAAGCCCCCGTTCGTAACCGCAGATTATGAGCCCAAAGAGGTTCTGAAGCCATGTCTCTGATGCAACGCCGACGAGCAGCTGATGGGGCTGATGGTGGAGGAGATGCAGCAGATGAAAGGACTGCTGACCAAATGATGGCTGACCTGATGGAGGACCTCAACAACTCCTCATCAGGAACCACCGCAGTGAGGTCAGTGCGGGTGTTGGAAGGAAGTGCGCAAGCCCAACCTGAAGGTGGAGCCCAAGAGGTGGTCGTGGCTGGAGCTGGTGGCCCACAGCCAGGTCATAATGGGGGAGCCCAAGGTGTGATGGAGGGTTTGTCACCAGACCAACAGGCCGTGCTTAGACAAGCTGCTGAAGTCCTGAGGCCTGGGGTGCAGCTGCAGTGGCAGGCTGCTCCGCCGGCTGCTCTGGTGGATGCAGGAAGGCGACCTGAACATCTTCCAGGGGGCCAACAACAAGCAGAACGAGCTGGAGGCATGGATCCAGGTGAAGGCCAACGAGGCGATCAAAGAGCTCAAGGGGTTGGTGACGGGTCCTCTTGCACTTCCTGCCGGCGGCTTGGAGCCATTGGTGCTTCGACCTGAAGGTCTACCCCCTGCTCCACAAGGAGATCCTGTGGTTTTGGGTCCTGCTGGACCGCATGGAGGTGCTGAACAACAAGGGCATCCTTCTGCACTGGTGCAACGTGCTGGACATCAACCTGGCTCTGGTCAACTTCTTCGGCATCCTTCTGATCCTCATGGGGTACAAGCCGTGATGAGGACACCAGATGGTGTTGGGGGCGAACGGAATCCGTTTTGGAGCGATCGGGCTATGGCTGGAGGTGACCAACATGCTGCCAGTGGACCACATGGCGATGGTGCCCAACGAGCTCTATCATCAGGACGGGTGAAAACAGCTGATGGTTTAACCCACAAAGACCTGTTGGATTTAGAGGCTCTTAGGGTTCAGGGTTTTAAAGAAGTTGAAGCCCAAATTCAAAGGGAAATGGAAAAACGTAAAGGGGAAAATAGCGGTAGTGGCTCATTCCAAAGTGTTTTGGGGGAAGTAGGTGTGGTTCAGGGTTCAAAAACCCCTGTGGACCCGGCTCTTGGCCATTTGGTGACTCCTCCGGGTCTTCCTGGCCTTCCTGGTCCAGCTGTGCCTGCATCGGTCACGCCTGCGCCTATGGTGAGCGTTGGCGAGAACCTCAATGAGAACCTGAGGAACTTGGAGCTGCCAAAGCTGTCCCCTGACAGCACTTCGGTGGACTTTGGCGACTGGCTTGCCATTGTGGGTCCGTTGATGTCGGATCTGAGTGGAACGAGCAGTCAATGGTGGGCTCTGGTGTTGGACGCTGCGGCCAAGACCTATGCAGCGTGGGTGACATCAACGCCACTCCAAAGGTTGCGCCTGAAGGTGGTGTCTCCGAATGAATTGGCGAAATGGCCAAGGACTGAGCAGAGGGCTGTGACCATGTTGTTGGCTGCTGTCCCGGACCCGATTCGGCGCGAACTGATCTCGTCCAGGAAGCTGCAAAGCGTGGAGATCCTCTATGCCCTTCTGTGTCGTTTTCAACCAGGTGGAGTTCATGAAAAGACGAGCTTGCTGAAGGACCTCACGGAGAATCGACTGGGTGCCAATGCGAACATCCACGAGCTCTTGCAGACCTTGCGGGTGTGGCGACGGAATTTGGGAAGATCAGCTGAGCTGGGAATTCAACTTCCGGATCCACTCATCTTGGTTGGAGTTCTTGGACGGTGGTCGGACCATCTTGGACGCCTTGGAGGACCTCAGACGGTTTACCGAATGTCGTCGCTTCGACAAGACTTGCAGTTGGACTTCATCTCAACGAATGTCAAGGTTGCTGACTTTGCGGAGGCGTTACAGGCCGAAGCTGAGCAGTTGTCACTGATGAGCGCTTCACCGACTTCTACCACGACGGCATCACTTCAGGACACCAAAAAGAAGGAGCAGATCAAGGCTGCTGCCCTACGGTCTGAAGGGTCTCCTGCTTCCAACGATGATGGGAAGGGGAAGTCAAAATGTCGTTTCTGGGGGAGCACGGCTGGTTGTCGCCGAGGTGAATCCTGTGCTTTTGAGCACTCTTGGGACGGCATCCAACGAAAGGGTCGATGCTGGAATTGTTCTGGTGAAGGGCACATGAAACCTGAATGTCCTCACCTCAAACAGAAAGAATATGGTCAACGTGAATCCTCTGGGTCTCCCACGAAGATCTCCAAGGTGAAAGATCAGAAGGGTGGCAGTCCCAAGAACACAGGTCATGGAAAAGGTGCATCAAAGGGAACTACGACGTCTTCACCAACGACGCCTTTGCCGAGTTCTTCACATGGATCTACGGTGACTTCATCGTCTTCGCATGGCGCTTCTGAGGAGAAGTCCAAGGTGGTGATTGAGGAGGTCAAGCCTGCTGTCCCTGCTGCTCTGGTGTCAGACCTGAGTGGGCTTGTGAAGTCTTTGCAGAGCCTGAAGGCAGTTCACTTGAGGTACATCGAGTCCAAGGCCAATGGTGTTTTTCCTGGAGGTGACCAAAAACTGGCGTTGCTTGACGGTGGAGCCACTCATGGGCTACGTCGAGGACTGCCTCATGAACTTGGAGATGCTGAAGTGGTGACTGTGGAACTTGCTCATGGGAGTACGTCCCTGTTCCGAAAGGCTGGATGTAGCACGTTGTTGGCGAAGGAGGAGGTGGAACCAATCATCCCTGTCCGTCAACTGATTGAGACTGGCTACCAGCTCAAGTGGAGTTCCTCTGAAGTTTCCATTTGGCATCCCACAAAGGGATCTATCAAATGCTGGCGACGTCAAGGTTGTCCAGTCATGGATCGAGATGATGGTCTTGCTCTTTTACAAATGTTGGAGGACGATGAGGCGGCGACCCAAATTGGTCAAGAAGTTCGAACTTGGTGGAAAGAACGATACCCACAGGTTCCTGACGCTGTCATCGGCTTCATGAAGGGCCAGTTCACAGACTGGAAAAACTGTCCTCAAGGATTACCTTGGAACCGTCGGAGACGTAGGCAGCTGGAATCGGCCAAAGCCATTGTCCTGCACCTCTTCTCTGGGGATAAGGAATCAAGCAGAAAGTGGTTGGATTTGCAGAAGCTGGGCTACGAGGTGATCACCTTGGATGTGGCCGCAAACAGCGCCGAAAACCTGCACTCGCCAGCCATCTGGAGTTATCTGATGATGTTGGCTCGCAAGGGCTCACTGAGAGTCTTGTTGGGTGGGCCACCATGCAGAACGTTTTCAAGGCTTAGACACAAGCCACCCGGCCCACGACCGGTGAGAGGTAGAGCTGAAAACAGATGGGCTCTCCCTGACCTGAGTGTGTTGGAAGCCGAAAAGGCTCATGGAGATACAGCATTGGTCCTGAAAATGGCGGCCCTCTACGAAACGATGGAGGAGAGTCAACCAGGAGCCAACGGGTTTCTCCTCGAGCACCCTGAAGACCCGTGCGCGTACCTTGGAGAACAGGAGTCCAGGGAAATGCCAAGCGTATGGGAGTGGCCAGAACTCAAGGCCTTTGCGGAGAAGTTCAACATGAAAACAGTCTCCTTTGATCAAGGAAAATGTGGGCACAGCCGACGAAAACCAACCAACCTCCTGACGAACCTGCCAGGTATGGATGAACTACAGGGGTTGCGCTGTGGGAAGAATGAGAAGGGCATTGAGCCGCTTGCTGCAGATCTTCCACAACGTCTCAAACAGACCTCTTCCTGGTCGTCATGGGCTCCGGGGTTGATACAGGCTATTAAGGAGTCAATCAAACAGATGCCTGCGGCTGGCCTCAAACGTTTGTCTTTGGATGAGTGGCGACAGCATGTGAGGCAGAATCATACGCCTTACCGCCGTGATTGTCGTCTCTGCATACAAGAAATGGGTGCTGGAGAACCACATCGACGTCGAGGTCCTCACCACAATGGTGAATCAGCTTATGTGTTGTCAGTTGACATCACTGGTCCACTTGTGAAAGGATGGGACTATGGAACTGGCCGTCAAGCCAAATATGCGCTGCCTGCTACGGTGCCGATTCCTGTCGTGGATGGTCAA